AAAACAGAAAAGGTAAATAAAATCTTATGTGGCATTGCAAGTGAAATTGCTTATTTAGCAAGATTGCTAAGTTAGCAATTGGCTTCACATCCTTGCAATTGAATTAGCAATTGCCAAACACATGCCAACTAAGTTTTAGCAATTACATATGAAAGTGAATGGAGATGGTCTAAGGTGTTATTGTTGTAGAGTATATGGTATTGATTGGTTCGGGTTTAGGGTTACAATTACATGTACCAAATCTGTAGATTAATTTTGGTAAACGAAAAAGTTAGTTAATCTACAAAGCCAGTCTAAAAGCACATCCCCATCTCCCGCCGTCAATTCCTAAATTTTCGTTTAATCCGATGGTGAAAGAGCTTCAATCCTAACCGCGGCGTGTCACCCAATCAGATATTGCCGTTTTCGGAAAGTCGCATTTGCCCCTAACCAGTGCTGACGTTACCAAGGCCGAGGCAGCGGTAGGGAGTGTGATTTTCAGTAAATTGGAAAGGTTGGAAAGGCAAATTAAATTTATGAGCTCATTTATAAATTCTTTAATCAGAGAGGGAGAGACCATGCTCCGAAACCCAAGAGGCACTCATCTCCTGCTGTTGTCCGTTCCTCCTCTCAATCCCTGAAAAGACCCCTTTCTCCCATCTTCTCAACCCCGAAAATCAACCCCATCCGCCTCTTCGTCCCATCCGCCTCTTCGTCCTCCTGTCCATGCTTTATTTTCGGGTGCAGTGGTAAAGATGAGACTGCGTATTATTTTAGATCTCAGTTCCTTTAATTATGTCATTGTTAGATCATGACTGTTAAACTAAATCCTTCGTTGTATTGTTTCTCCTTTTCTCTCCATGCAGGGTCTTTGTTAGAGGCAGGGAGGGGAGCAATGACAATAAGTCGCCGTTTGAATATCGCCCAAAGAATCATCATATGTTGTTACGATTCCATAATAGGTGTTGTGGAACCCTACGTCATATGATGGTTCTTCTGGGCGACATTGACGCGTACTTGTTGATCATGCTCCCAAAATATATACAAGAGGGGAAAGTTGCCATATGTATAGTATAAAAGTGGGAGGAGGGAAAGTACATTGTTTTGTTTTCCAAGATTTGTACTTTTAGTGTTTGAGATCTTAATAATATATCGGTGAGGGATATTTCACTCAATAAAAACACTGTAGTTTATTTCTTGATTACTGCCTCCATTTTCAGAAGTCCTCTATCGGCGCATGCACTTGTCATTTCACGCCCAAATTACATTTCATAATTTTAGTAGCCAAAATTAAGTAATTTTATAAACAAGTAAAAAATCCGATCTAATAATTCAATAAAAAAAATGAGTGAGAAAAATAATTCAACTGAAATGTTGCACATGATTTATTTAGGGAGCAACCTCCATATCGAATTCAATCAAATCCATCCGAACTAAATAAAATGACACCGTAGCAGGCAGTAGTCTTCTTATAGACCAAAGAGACACATAAATAAAACGACACACAAGTAAAACGACACCGCAGACGGCAACAGTCTTCTTATAAATCAAACGACGCCGCTTCAAGCTGATACTGGCAGTCTTCACATAGTCCATTAGTCCTAATCCTAATAGGATAAGGACGTCCATCTTCACTCCAAGTTTTCAACAATCCTTAGTTTGCTACTTCTTGTAACAGGCCTCATCTGCAAAATCGATAACGACGATTTTAGACGTACAAAATTATTGGGTGCAACTGCATTGTGTAGACACGAACAATTATATCTTATTCTTACCCTAGGTTGCTCATAATCGTCGTCATCGTCATTTTCATCATCGTCATTTTCATCATCGGATGGCCCAGACCCAGTACACGTTCTTGCATTATGATTGGTAGAACCGCACTTACTGCAATGCTTTTGCCTTCTCTTCTGTACTGTTTCCGACTGATCTTGAGTGGTGGGAGGATCAACATCGGTGTCATCGCCACCGCCACCTTCTTCCAAAACACCATCATTCGGGGCATCACCGTTTGAGGTTGGCTTCACATAGCCAACAGGATGTGGGCATCGGGTCCTATAGTGGCCAAATTCACCGCAATTGCTACACTGTCGTGGTTCTCCTTTCTTCCTTTTAGATTTTTTAGCCCCCGAACCTTTAGCTTTGACTTGTAATGGATCCAACAAAATTTCATTCGCCTTCGGCCTATTAATGCCGGGTATGTCCACGTTGCCAGTGTCCACCATGTCCAACTTTTCACATAATGATTGAATTCCCTCACGAGCAATCTTGAAGCACTCACTAGATTTTGCCCCTTTTAACATTAGTTGTAAGCTGTGTTGTTGAATAGTACCATACCTGATTGACACAAGATTTTATACAAAGTGAGTAAAATTAATTTTCACCTAGCTTCGAACCAATACTAAAAAAAAAAATTAAAAGTGATAGTCATGGCAAACCTCAATGCGAAAAGTTGCGATTCATCTAGTCTGCCCGGTTCCTCCAAGCTCTCTAGTGTCTTCGGCTTCTTTGACCATCTTCGACGTACTAGGCCTTCAGGAAGTTCCAGTATGCTCTCTTCTTTCAGTACAAAAATCATATGACGACATGGTATTCCCATATAATTGTAGTGATTACAACTACATTCCATTGCAAAGGGTTCAACTGCGTACGTGACTTGAAAAACCTTAGCCATGCCAGACACCTTGACCTTGTACACATGCTCAATTTCCGATCGCTCTGTCTCCAACCTTATGCAACATGCCGACTTTTCAACCTCGTCTCTGAATAAGAAGAATGCGTTCTTTGTGAAAACCGCCGCTCCACTCTTTAGAAGTGAGACTAAGACATTGCTTGTGATGGTTCGTTCTCGATGAAAGTGAATAAAGAACTCAAGGAGATTTTTATCCTTCTCGATATAATTGGCAAGTTGAGAGTTCAGTCCTTCACATCTTGATGTTGTACTCAAGCCTGCGAAGAACTTCGAACGCAAATATGCATACCCCCATTCATGTCTTTGGTCAAATAAATTGGAGACCCAATTGTTGTGCTGAAGGGAGCATTCCTCAACCACTGTTTTCCACTTTTCTTCGAATTCTGAAGGTTCCCAGTCAGCTGACACACAATGCTTCCATCGGGGCAAAAAAGTAGGATGATTCTTCACATTTCTGGTTATAGTCTTGTCTATATGCCAGGAACATAGACGATGTGTTGCATCGGGAAATACTTTCTGAATAGCATTACGCATTGCTCTATCCCCATCTGTAATAACAGTCTTGGGATCTACACCGCCTAGCCTTCTCTTCAAAGCTCCCAACACCCAAATATAATTGTCCTCTCTCTCGTTAGCCAAGAAAGCACATGCAAATACGCAAGTTTGCGAATGGTGGTTGCACTACAAAAAAGCATGCCATTAGAGACCAGAGGTTTACGTCGGTAAAGGCCAAATTTCGTCGGAAATGGGATTTTGCGACGACATGAGGCCGTCGAGCGCCGTTCCAAATACGAGCGTCACAAAAGCTTTCTTCGTGACGAGCCGTCGTAAAAGCTATTTTGCGACGGCTTGGAGTCATCTCTAATGCCTATTAAAATTGACGAACTACCCAGTTTTAGTTTTTGTGACGACAAAGAATCGTCGGAAAAATTAACAATCTCGTTAGTAATAAATTCTCATTGACGAAGATTGACGACATTGTCCGTTTTTCTGACGAGATATAGTCGTCGCTATGATAAAAAAAGTCATCGATAATACTTTTTTTGACGACGTTGCCTATTTATGACGATACATATCCGTCTCTATAATTAATAAAGTCATCGGTAATACATTTTTTAGGACGACGTTTAATGATATTTGGGACAATTTAACATCGTCACAAATATTATATTTACGACGAACGAGAGATATCACAAATAAGGATTCCAATATTTGCGACGTTACATAATCTTGACAAAAAAATACTATTAGCGATGATATGTAGCTGTCACTAAATTATTTGGGTTGACAAAAAAATACAGTTCGCGATGATATGTAGCCGTCACCAAAATAAGTAGTTTGTCGAAAAAATATTGTTCTCAATGATATGTAGCCATCACTAATTTAATTAGTTTGATGAAAAGATACTATACTATTAGCGACGATATGTTTTCTTTCACTAGATTAATTATTTTGACAAAATATGGTTGTCAGAAATATGTTGATTTGCAACAAAGAGACTATATTGACAAAACCAGGTAATCTAAAAAATTAAATATTTCAAATGTTATAAGTAAGGTGCCTTCTACGGTACCCCGGGTGAAATCCGGGGTACCGCATACCTTGAGTATGAAAACGCTATCTAGACCTTGAATTAGCATGATTTTTGGGCATGATACTATACCCTAACCCTTAATGAGTGAACCCTAGGTCCTAATTATCTAAATCATAAACTATAAACCCTAAGATGGAGCATTACTTTTTTTGCCTATATTTGGACGAATCATAATCGTCGATTATTGTTTCTAATTAAATTGATCTTGGGGTATAAGATTTAGAGAATTAAGACATAGATTTTGATCTTTATGGGTTAGAGTATAGTATAATGTCCGAAAGATCAGTCAATTCAAGTTTTAGATAGGGTTTTCTTACTTAAGGCATGCGGTACCCCGGATTTCACCCGGGGTACCGTAGAACTCCCCTATAAGTAATAATATTCTATCTGACCAATATTTGATAAACATAAAATAGAGAAATATGAATATGAAAACTAGTCCAATAAAAAAACAAAATATCAATCTTAATTATCTGAGTCGTATTCTAAATTTTCGTCTTCTTCTTCTCCTCCTCCTCCTTCTCCTTCTCCTCCTTCTCCTTCTTCTTCATCACTGTTGTCTTCATCACTTTCATCTCCACTTTGGCTGGTCATGTTAACCTATTAAACATTAACAAGAATAAGATTAAGAAAGAATTCTATAGGTATAAATAGTACGCATTGTAACATGTTTCATACCGTTATACCAAACTGCATCAAGGCAGCTTGAACAAGCTGAGGAACTGAATTTTCCACCGATACTATCTTTTCTTGCAATTCTTTGATGACTGCATCACTCTTTTCTTTCTCTTTTAAGCGATCTTCTTGGCAGCGTTTACTACAACCATCTGTTGAGGCATAGCCATAAACATCTGCTGCTGTGACTCCCAAACCCATCCCAAGTACTCGACCTTTGCGTGGCTCCCCAACAACCTGGCGATATATGTCCCAATGATTGGGTTCTTCACCTTTAGCCCGAGCCTCAGCAACTCTTTTTTCCATCTCATCCTGAAAGCACCATACATCATTAACAAGACTATAGAAAGCAAAATACGTAACGAGGCAATAAGACATATAAAGATAAAAGACAAAAACCATACATTAATCTCTTGAGCCTTTGGGGTACTGAACTCTTTGTTCTTTTTCATGTGCTGCCGTTTCCATAGATCCATTAGAGTTGGCTCTTGTCCAGTTGTCTTTTTCTGCAAAGGAACAACTAAACTTAGACTCGATAGTACAAAAATTAAAGGTGCAATATAAGTTCATGACAGATAAATACCATATCAGATCTATATTTTGCCGCTGGTACAGAACCACTAGTTGAAATCAGCTCACTTTTGGCTCTATTTTGCTTATTTTTCTTACTTATCTCCTACAACAATGAATGGATAATAATTAGAATAATAATGAAAACTAAGTGTTCAATTTAATCCTATGATGATCAAATTATACAAAAAACAGCCTATACAAACAACAGGCCTAGAAAAAACAAGCAGAAACGTGCCCAGTAAAGCAAAAATATAAAGTAGCACAAACGTGTCTCACAGAAGATGCAAATTCCCAAGTCGGGGAAACATATAACATTTGACTCACAAAAATCACATTAAATGAAGAGCATGGACAAGAAACATACTAATTGTCATCAATTATACAGACCTCTTATCATATATTTCAAGAGCTATGTTGTGCCCTGGATTAACTCCTTTGCCCTTGCCTCGAACTTTCTTACTCTTTGCGGTAGCTAAAAAGAGGTACAAGGGAAATTAAGATTGATTTTGTTTAAATATAACTCAGTTGTGGACAATTAACATGTATTGTGATATTTACCAGGTTGACTACTTTCCCCAATTGATGGAGCAGTTGATCTTTCACTTGCAGGAGCCTCTGAAGATGATCCATTAGGCGTAAACTCTTCGTATTCGGTCACAACTTCCACCGATTCCACCCTTTCGCCTTCCCTCTCCTGACGCTTACGTTTCTGTCCAGCCTTCCCAACCTTGTGAGACTTCCCAGACTTCCCAAACTTCACTGATTTCCCTGACTTCCCCATCTACAAGCGCAACACAACTTCAATAAGGTTGGGATTAAAGCCAAAACGTAAGGGAGGAAACCAAAACAGAAAGAACTCCATAACCCCTATAAAAGCCATACATAACCATTATGTTCCACCCTTAGCCTTCACAAACTGGGTTCCCTATGAACTTCGCAGTTAAACAAAAATTGGTGCCATTGCTAGAGACACGAAATTAATCTGATGGTTCAACCAAAAAATAATCATTTTATACCGAGCCAAATTCTATTAAGGGGGGAATCGATCCCCCATCACGCCCTAATTCTCCACCATTACCATCTTCAATGGAGGTTTATATATTGGAGTGGCGTGCTTAACTTTCAACCTGGTATGGTAGTATGTACTGCACATCAGACACGGCGAATTGTACATGTTTTGTGGAAGGGCAGAATCCGACACTAAATTTCGTGAACCCATAACCAAAGTTGTTTCTTCCCCTTGTTCATGCACAAATGAAAACACGAAGCTAAAACAAATGAACCCCATAAACCCATGTTCTGCTTCTTCCTCTTATTCAAAACCCCAGAAAGCCAAAACAAATGAACCCTATAACTAAATCAAGTTGAAAGATTGACTGATTGCTATAAAAAGAATCGAAAATCACCTTGTGCAGAACTGGTTATATGAGACCTTGTGATCCTTCACACAAAAATAGTGAATCTGCAACACAACAGACGCTTTATAACATGATTAAATAGTGTAAAAGTGGATAATAGAAAAAGCAGAGTACGCTGAATGGAAAAACAACCTAGGGTTTATGAGATTACCTTGAGAGAGTCTCGGACTAGCTTCTCCTTCTCATCCAGTATTGATTTTATAATAACCCAGGATCTTAATCGTCTCTTTGGGAGAAATAATTCAATCGCCCGCCAATTTGGTGATTCCATTGGATTTATCCCGCCAAATCTCCCCAAATTCTAGCGACAACCACGTTTAAAGTACTTCCCCCAAAAACCTCCGACTCGGGCGTGATATGAGAAAGAAAGAAGAGAGGAACGGATAGAGAAGGGAAGTAGTTTTAGGTTTCTTCCATTGCTACGCGAGATATGTGGTTGGGATGACTAATGAGGAGATAATGGTTTTATTTGATATTTTCTATTAATGATTCAATTTATGTTTTCTATTAATTCCCTTATTTTCCCATTTGGTTTCGTCTCTTGCGGAACTAGGGATGGGCCAAAGCAATGTACTGTATTTCTGTAAAAAAAGTAAAAAGAAATGTTTTCTATTGTATTGTATTTCTCTCTTAATTTAATCTATGTATTTCTTCACAAGTAGATTAAAATGTCTTTAATACCTTAAAATATAACTTCAACGAGGTCACAACTACAACGAATATCGACATCGACTCGAGTACAAATTCTCTCCTACTAAAAATTGTAGTCCTTAAAAAGTTATGCAAAATAAAAAAAATCATGATTTTCGGATTGTGGAGCACAAAGTTATGGTCGTTCAAAGTTTGACGAAATCGAAAAAAGGCTCGTTCGGGGTAGAAAACGACGTTTTTTCGGGATGAAGGCGGAGCCAAACCGCCTTTGGAGTTGGCGGCTTGCAAGATCTCGAAAAATTATGCGGAATCAAAAAAAATTTCGCCACGATCAGATAACCGAGCACAAAGTTATGCAATCACCGTGCTTCTCTCATCCGGTGATGTAATCACCACTTTTCTTTAATGTGGCGATGCAATCACCGCATGGGTTCAGATTTCACATAACAAATCGCGAGCAGAATAGACGTACTCAAAATAGTGGTGTGATGGTGAGAGGGGAGAATTATGACAACATCCCTTATTATGGGACTCTTATTAAAGTCATTGAACTGCGATACACAGAAGGCCTTCGAGTTGTGCTTTTTCAGTGTGATTGGTATGATATAACTCGTGAAGGCACTGACTATAAGAAGGATCATCATGGTATTATTACCATCAATAAGGCACGACTATTGAATACTCAAGAACCTTTTGTCTTAGCCAGTCAGTGTACACAAGTTTATTATGTGCCCTGTATCAAAGATCCTAACTGGGCAACAGTTATTGAAACAAAGCCTAGAAATTTGTTTCAGATGCCAGATGATGTTGGTGATGATGGTGATGGTGTTGACGAAGCATACCAAGAGGAAATTGTTTCAGTAACTACTCCTCAAGAGACTGGAAATGATGAAGATGATGGAATGAATTGGAGTAGAGAGGGGCTTGAAGACTTGTAGGTTGAGATGAATATTTTTGTTTTGCTAAAATATTTATGTGTTTCACATCGACAGTTCCATTTTTCTGGTACCATGTTTGATAAATAGATGTTATAATGAATTTGAATGTTACTGCCCTTTCACAGATCACGTCCCTTTGCTTCCTCTTTGGTCAATGTATAAATCAGGCACCAAAATTTACCACCAATACGATAACGCCACCTCTCCCATTAATTGTTTCTTTTCAAAGGGATTAATGCACGTAATAAATTCCGAGGAAAAAATTTCACTAACGGGTTATAGGCTGTCGCAATCCAAAGAATGAACGTAGTGACGAGGATTCAGATTTTACCGACAAGGAATAGCCTTTGTCACAAATATATTTTCTTACGACGAAACATTACAAACAAACAAATGATATTCATCACAAATAACCATGGCGCCAATTTTTCCCTCCAAAAATTAGACTTAGTGCCAAAAATTCATCTTTTTTACCGACAAGATACAACCTTCGTCACAAATACATAAAATTTTGACGAAACATTATTGACGAGAGTGTAACGTCATCCCTAAAAGTATTCTTTGCGACGAATTTGACCTGCCCTCGCTAAAGGTTGTCACTAATGCCTGTCTTTTCCGAAGACATGTAGGCTTTGTCACAAAAGCAATGTTTTGACGGAACATTAATGACGACCAGATTTTATTCGTAGCAGATAACCATGGCGCCAATTTTTCCCTCCAAAAATTAGATTTAGTGACAAAGATTATTGTCTTTATCGACGACGTCTCTGCTTTGTCGCAAATACATAACTTGTTGACGGAATATAATTGACGAAAGTGGAATATCGTGCCTAAAAGTAACTTTTAGCGACAAAATTGACCCATCATCGCTAATTTTTGTCACTAATGACCCGTTTTTTTGTAGTGTTGACACCTAAAAAAGTTCAAACAAAGTTAGATTATGCAAACTTCTAGGGTTATTTTAGCATGCTCGGGATAATTCTATGTGTGAAGGAAAAGTACCTGAAAAAATCACGAGAGGCATCTGGTAAATGTTCCTTTTGTAAGTAGCATCGAATGACAGTAATTCTCCAAAGCATGCATAATCAGCAACAGAAATACTATCGGCCCAGAAAATGTTAATAAGCCGGTCGTCGTCATCCTTCTTTAGTTCAATAACGAAATGCTCGTCCGCGCTGCATTTAGCTTGCAGGTAGGCTAGGGCTGTTGCGGCATCACCTTCACTGATTTGTTCTTTCCTCTCTTTGTCCACATAATTATATGCATCCTTCCTCGTGTACCCCAAATTGTCGTAGCCTCATGCTTCTGATACGGCCAGATTCACAATTTGAGAAGTTTTCATACCTGCAGCTCTTCTAAAATTTATCGCTGCTTTCACTGCATCACTCATACGACGTTTCCCTTTCATGTAGTGTCTATATTCTCTGGGGATCGTTTCATGTGTGTGTACATCATCAAACTGGTGCACATACCACTTCCCATCGACATTGTGTTGTTTAACACGCATCTTGGCTCTGCAGTTAAATCTAGTCTCCCCTCTTGCTTCTCTCTTTCGTTCTGTGCTCTTCACGCGCCTCTTTCCCTCGCCAGAGCATACATAGTCACGCCATATCATAACTTTGTTCTTATCACGACCAATGTCTGATTTTCTGATGTCGAAGCCTTTGACTAACCTGTAGTCCATGTAGAAATCATAGGCTTCTTCTGTATCATCGAACTTCATTTTTTTAATATCTTCAGGCTGTAGCAATATGAGATCGGCGACATTATCTTCCTGGGTGGTGTGACTGGTTCCGGCACCAGCGTTTTCTTGGACTCCCTCCGACGTCAATACTAGGACTCCCTCCGACGTCAATGGTGAGTCTGCCTCCGACGTCATTGTCACGGCTGGAAATTTTGGGGAACCAAGGACGTAG